CCCCCCGGAGCCGTGTGAGGCACTTTTTATTATGGATGGATGCACTTTATTTCACTTCTTTTGGACTGATGCACTGCAACACCCGCTGACTGCCATTAAACAGCTTGGAAGATCAAAGACAATTTTTAATATAACTCCGACTGGATTCGTCTGAAAGAAGAAAGTCATATACACCTAGGATGCCTTGAGGGTGAGTAATTCATAGGCTAATTGTCATTTTTGGGTGAACTAACCCTTTAAGAATGCTGAGAGTGAACAATATGGTGAAGAGGTTCTGGGAGTTGCTTAGTGTGAATAGGATCTAGCATACAGTACATGTTTTTGCTTTTGAAGCTTTACATGTCTAATTGTTTAGATGTCTGTTGTTTTGTACCATTAAACGGGTTATTTGTTGTTGGGTTTTTTTTTCTTTCATTTTAGACCTGATGGTGCTGAAAGAGGAGAATCAAGAACTGAATGAAAAAGAAGATAAAGATGAAAAACATGATTTCATGGCTGAAGAAAAGGCTTTTAGTTGCTCTGAGACTAAAAAGACTTTGTCTAGAAAAAAAGCTAAGAAGACAGCGACTAAAGGTAATTTCACTTGCCAACAGTGTGGAAAGATTTTCAAAAAAAATAGAAACCTTACAGTCCACATGAGAGTTCACACTGGAGAGAAGCCTTACACATGCCAGCAGTGTGGAAAGAGTTTCAGTCAAAAAGTAAGTCTGAAAGCCCACATGAGAGTTCACACTGGAGAGAACCCTTTCACCTGCCAACAGTGTGGGAAAAGTTTCAATAGAAAAGGAAACCTAACAGTCCACATGAGAATTCACACTAGAGAGAGCCCATTCTCCTGCCAACAGTGTGGAAAAAGCTTCACTCAGAAAGGAAGCCTTAAAGTCCACATGAGAATTCACACTGGCGAAAACCCTTTCACCTGCCAGGAGTGTGGAAAAGGTTTCATTCGAAAAGCAAGTCTTAAAAGCCACATGAGAGTTCACACTGGAGAGAAGCCTTTCACGTGCCCTCAATGTGGAACGAGTTTTAAACATAAAGGAACCCTTAATGCCCACATGAGAATTCACACTGGAGAGAAGCCGTTCGTATGCGGTCAGTGTGGAAAGAGTTTCAGATTTACAGTAACTCTTAGTCATCACATGCGGATTCACTCAAGAGAGAACCGTTTTATATGTCATCAGTGTGGAAGGAATTTCACATACATAAATCATCTCAAGAATCATGTAAAGATCCATTTGGTAGAGAAGCCTTTCATGTGCCATCACTGTGGAAAGACTTGCAAAAACAAAACAAACCTTGAGGTTCACATAAGAGTTCACACTGGAGAGAAGCCTTTCACCTGCCCTCGGTGTGGAAAGCATTTTGCACTCAAAGGAAACCTTGAGGTTCACATGAGGCTTCCCACTGGAGAGAAGCCTTACGAGTGTCTTAAATGTAAGAAGAATTTCACATATCATAGAGAACTGAAATGTCATTTGCAAACTCGTTCTGAAAAGAAACCACAACATTCGGAGTGCGACAAGAAGTTTACTAAGAGGAGTCATTTCAAAAATCATCTGTGCGTTCACTCTGGAGGAAGGCGATTTAATTGTGATAAGTGTAATAAAAAATTTATTTTACCATCACACTTACAGATACACCTGAAGAGTCATGCAGATGTGAGACCCTATTCTTGTTCTTTCTGTAGAAAGAGTTTTAAATGGCTCAGCAGTTTAAAATGGCACCAGGAAACATGTATGTCTGTGAAATCAAAGCTACTTTCACACTGCAAATGAATGTGGGCCAAACAGGTATTCTTCTCTCTATTATTATTATTCTTTTTTGGTCCCACTTTATATTAAGTGGCCCCAATACCTGTGTTCTTACATAGTAACTAGATGTATACGTAGTATGTAACCACAGAGAAAGTACACATTGGTACATAGTATCAAGAGCTGTAATATTTCTGTAACTACACACATGTAACAACCCTCCGAATGGTTTGTGTAAGTACAAATGTGTAACAAGACATATATAACTACATTTTGTAACAACAATACGAGTAATAAGAGTAATTGGAACCATTTGATCCAGGGGGTGGAGATGGGTATGGTTAGGGGTGGAAATGGGTAGGTTTAGGGATATGTAAAGTGGGAGGAGTTGGATCTCAAGTTGGTGCACCACTGTAATACCAGTGTACTTACATGGTAACATACCAATGTCCTGTTACAAATTTTGTATTTACACATACCATTCAGTGGGTTGTTACATGTGTAGTTACACAAACATTACAGCTGTAGATACTATGTACCAATGTGTACTTACACTGTGGTTACATACTATGTACACATCTAGTTACTATGTAAGTACACAGGTATTAGGGCCACTTAATATAAAGTGGGACCATTTAATTTGATAATTGTGTTTTGTCATCTGCTAAAAGAAATGACAGTTCCACTGCATGCAGCACTGGTGGAAAAGTTCATAACAGGGCTGGTGGAGGTGGAAGGATCATAGGAGTGGTGGGTGAACCGATGGATTTTTTTTTTCATTTAGCACTAGTGATGCCATTACTAGTGGTGTTATGGATGCCTTCAGACCAACTGCCTCATCCTTTATACCACAAGGCAGCAGTTGTTATGAGAAAAGTGAACGATCTATTCCAATGTCTCAAATAATGATCTGCATTGTTAATTACTTTAAAGGATGTAGCAGATTGAATATTTGAAATTTAAATTCATGATGGGATTATAAATGTAAGATTCTGTTTAAGATCCGCTGAACCTAAGGTGAAGTACATTGTATTTAGCATTTAAGGTAAAGATGATAACATTAGATGGTTGATTCTGTTAAGCAAAGTTTGTAGCAAGAGACAAAAAGACAGTTTGTGTTCTCTTTATTGTAAGTCAAATGAGCTGAATTATTGAAACTCTCACCTTTTGTCTTTAATGGCTCTTGGTCCCCTGTCCCATCCTTTGAATATTTATGCTGATTGTTATAGGACTGGTGAAACTCTGTGAAACACTGTATCTGTATCTGAGTCTGCGGCAGGCTCCTATACCTGCATACTTTATTTGCATGCTTTGTTTAAGGTTGTCTCCCAGGTACTGTCTCTATCTTAATAATTAATTAAATTAATTAATAATTGAATAATTTATGCATTTAGCAAATGCTTAAAAGCGACTTACAGTGCATTCAGGCTATACATTTTTTACCAGTATGTGTGTTCCCTGGGAATCGAACCCACGACCTTTTGCGCTGCTAACGCAATGCTCTACCACTGAGCCACAGGCACATATGTGTTCATAAGTATCTTAAATCTTAAGCACTGCCCCTTAAAATGTATATAAAACTGTAATGTACAGATCCCAGTCATTCTTGATGACTGCAGTGACCAACAGCACATTCTTAATAAAGAATCCTTCTAAAGATACACAGTTTCCTGGTCCTTTGCTTCTGAGTTTCCAACAGTAATGGCCATATCATATACAGTTGCAATCAAAATTATTCAACCCCCTTGATCTGCAAGACATTTTGCTGCAGAGAATGAAATTTTATGAAAACAATTCAACAAAGGCATCAGTGTACTATTAGAGAAAGTTTCTTAATACACAGTTGAGTGATTCTGAGAATGTAACATTGAATCATGATAAAAATCAAATTGGCTCTAAACATTCATGTTCAAAATTATTCAACCCCTAAAAGTCAAATTTTGTGCAGAATATTTTATTCTTTAAAACCACCAATAAATGCAGTCTTGGCCCATTCCTCGCCGGAAAAAGCTTTCAGATCACTGATCATTTTTAGTTTGCATATTACCACTGCTTTTTTCAAATTCAACCAAATATTTTCAATGAGAGTTAAAATCTGGAGACTGAACAGGCCACTCAAGTACAACCTATAACTGATCCCTGAACCAAGCAGAAATAGATTTAGATGTATACTTTGGGATGGCTGTCCTGCAGGAAAGTCCATTAATAATAATAATAATAATACATTTTATTTATAAAGCACTTTACATTTGAAAGAAAATATCAAAGTGCTACAAAAAGAGCCATAATAATATAAAAATATAATTAAAACCAGCTGCCAACTGAGATAAACACAAAAGTTTAAACATTAAACATTAAAATACTTTTTAAAACCATCAGTTGTCTGTGGAGCCCTCAGATATTCAGGGAGGACATTCCACAGGCGAGGGGCGGTGGCGCAAAAGGCTCGATCCCCAGTGGTGCGAGTCTTAGTCCTAGGGGCGAGAAGACGAGAAGTGTTTGTGGAACGGAGGGAACGTGCTGAAATCTGTGAGGTGAGGAGTTCTTTAAGGTAAATGGGAGCATTGCCATGGATGCACTGGTGTGTGAGGAGGGAGACTTTGTATTCAATGCAGGCGGAAATGGGAAGCCAGTGTAACAATTGAAGAATTGGTGTGATGTGTTCGTATTTACGCACTCTCCTCAGGATCCTAGCGGCATTATTTTGTATGTGCTGGAGTTTCAGGATGCTCTTGCTAGGGATCACCTCTTGCAGAGGTGATGAAATGATGTTTTGCAAAGATGTTTAATGTGAGCCTCAAAGGTTAAATGAGGCTCAAACCTTACGCCGAGATTGGTGACTAATAGTGATAAGGGAATGTCCTGGCCAGAAAATGTAATGCAAGTTATGGCAGATGTTCTGATCTGATGAGGGGAACCAATGAGGATGGCTTCTGTTTTTGAGCTGTTCAGCTGGAGAGAGTTATGATTCATCCACGCCCTTATCTCCTCCAGACAGGCAGTGAGTGTAGATAAAGTTGCTGATGATGATGATGATGAGTAAGTATCAGCTTTCATATATAGTTGTGTATCATCAGTGTAACAATGGAAGGAAATTCCCAAACGATTGATGACTTTGCCAAGAGAATTAATAAAATAGGTCAGAGAACTGATCCCTGTGGAACCCCGCATCCAACAGCATGTAAACGGGACCTTGAGCTTCCCATGGCCACAAACTCAGATCTGTCCGTGAGGTATGACTCAAATGTTATTAAGTCCAATGGAGTGATGTAGCCGGTTGAGAAGTATCCCGTGATCAACAGTGTCGAACGCTGCAGAACGATCCAGGAGGACAAGAAGTGATGGTGAACCAGCATCAGCTGTCATCAGCAGGTCATTTGTGACTCTCACTAAGGTTGTTTCTGTGCTGTGAGCGGAACGGAAACCAGACTGAAACTTTTCAAAAATGTTATTGTATTTGAGGTGATCCTGAAGGTGGCTGGCAACTACTTTCTCCAGAACCTTAGAGAGAAATGGCAGGTTGGATATGGGCCTATAGTTAGCAAGGATTTGAGGATCAAGTGTGGGTATCTTAAGTAGTGGTCTGATTATGGCCGTTTTTAAGGCAGACGGTACATGGGCAGCCTGAAGGGATTGGTTTATTATCATGGTGATAAGGGGACTGATGGCAGAAATATTTGCTTTCACCAGAGGTGAAGGTGGAGGATCTCATGCCCCTGATGGTGTCCTCGACCTCGTGTTGAGTGACTTCTGGGAAGCAGCAGAGCAGTCTCGAAATACCAGACTGGTCACCAGGTCAGCAGTTGGGGCAGACGAGGAGGAGGGAACATGAAAAGAGGAGCGAATTTTGGCAATTTTGGTTTTAAAAAAGGTCATAAAATCATTGCACTGTCCTTCTGTAGCTCCTGTGAGTGGAGCAATTTGAGGTTTAAGGAGATGATTTATGGTGGAAAACAACTGTTTGGAATTGCCAGAACTATTTTGAATAATATTTGAATAATACTGTGACCGTGCTTCTTTGATTGACTTCAGATAAGCTTTTTGGTGGTCCCGATAGGCTAGCTTGTGAACAGTAAGTCCGGAAGCATTATACCCGCTCAAGGACACGTCCAGCTGCCTTCATTTTCCGCAGGTCACTTGTGAACCAGGGAGATGAGCGGGAAAACATAATTGTCCTAACTTTGATGGGTGCATGAAGATCCAAAATGCTGCTCAGTGTCTTATTATAAGATTCCACAGATTCAGTGACTGATGAGTAGGGTTGGGAACCGATAACCAGTTCTTATTCAGAACCGGAACCGTGAGCAATTTCTAAGTTTCGGTTCCGAAAACGGTTCTAATGCGACACGTGACCAAGCGCTGTGAGCAGCCTTGCGCCGGCGTTTCCCATAAAGGATGTCACAAACCAAATAACAGAAACGCCGCCCTGCCTCTTTAATTACTGAGCACATTGTTTCCCATGACGCGCACTCCACAGACGCGCCGCGTCTTTAACTGCCGAACACATCGTTTTCCACGACTGTATGCGCACTCGCGTCAATAATAGTTAATTTAAATGGAACCGGAACCGGAATCGTTAGGCAAAACTGGAACCGGAATCGGAACCGGAAAATTTCTAACGATACCCAACCCTACTGATGAGACATTTACAGAATGAAGATGTTGAAGACTTAAAGGAAGGTTTTCTGTGTTAATATTTTTCAGATTTCTAAAACGTATTTCACGTTTAGGCTTGATGTGGGAAGATCGAAAAGGCAGCTCCATGGAGATTGACCTTATGGTCAGATACACCCAGATCATACAAAATTGGTGCACTTAGAGGGGCAGACTCCGTAATGACCAAATCAAGAATGTTCCCCTTGGTGTGTGTGGGAACATCAACATGTTGTCTGAGGTTTAAACAATCCAATAACTGCAAGAATTCTGTTGCAAGATGACAAGAGGGGTTGTTGGCATGAATGTTAAAATCTCCAAGTATTATTATATTGGAAGAGGTTGCGCAGAAAGTTAAAAGAAGATTGTACAACTCTGAGATGAAGCATGCGTTTGGTTTGGGTGGCCGGTAGATCAATAGT